GGGAAATCCTGTGGTCGCCTTGGCAACTCGGCTCTCAGGCTTAGATCCCGACCCTCCCCCAGGGGACCTGTGGCTGGAGCAGCTGGTTTCGGTGCAGTCCAGGCCTGAAGGCTAGGCAATCGGGTCTCCCAGGGTAACCCCGTTCTCCCAGCCACCCACACACTTTGTCCAGGATTCAATTCTTTTCCTCTGTGCAGACTTTGAGGCACCTGTTACCAGGTTTATCTTTCTGGCTCCTCCATCAAAGATAGCTTCAAGAAGAGTGCCTTTAACGTGTTAGGTCATGAGGCTCCTCTGCTCAAAATCCTCCTGTTATCCCCCACGTTTCTCATACAGTCTTTAGAATGGTCCACCAAGACCTGCGTGACCTGTCCCCCTTTGGCCGCATCGACGTCATTTCCAACCTCTCACTCCTGCTCCAGCCACCATGTCCCTCTTGCTGTTTCTCAACCAACGCCAGGCACCTTCTGGCCCCAGTGCCTTTGCATTTGATATTCCCTCAGCCTAGGATGCTCTTCCCCAAGACGCTATACCCATATCCAAGTGGCTCACTCTCTTGCCTCCTTCAGATCTTTGCTTAGATGTCACCTTTGTAGGGACATCTTCCTGACTACAATTGTTGCCACTCATCTCAGACGCCCCTTAGTTTCCTCCCTACTTGACTTTTCTCAGTAGAAGTTATCCCTGTCTGGCATGCTATATATTTTAATTATCTTCTTTTTGTCTATCTATTGCTTCCCTCCTCTCCTCCCACACACACTAAAAAATAAGCTTCAAGAGGAAAGAGATCTTTATAATGTTATGTCCACACAGCTTGGAAGGAAGGGAACCACTCTTGAGAAGATGTACATAAATTTTACTTCTACTTTTTAAGTAATCTACTTAGTTGGGGGAGGGGGAGTTGAAGGGTAGGGCGGGGCTTCCAGATTGTTGTAGGGAGGGTTTCTTCACGTTATCTAATTGTAAGCCCAAGGATAAGGCAGGGCCTAAAGATGGTGACTAGTCCTCAGCTATGCCCCCACTCAGGGTTTCCCCAGCATTCCTTGGAGACTGGCCTTTGAGAGAGGCCATTGATATTTTATTTACAGAAAGAAAGAAAAATCACCACTTTCAACAATCAGGGAGGGTTTCTCAACTCAATATTAGCTGCATGTGATCCATATTTATAGTCATTTGTGTTCTCACGTATAACCTGTTAAACCGTATTAGTCCTGATGGAGATCTAATTCAGCACAAATTTGAGCCCCTCTAGGCACACCCCACTATTTTGAAAATGCTGCAATTTAAATGTTTTTAAATGGCAATTTTGAGTGGTTTCAAAAATTCAGTTCATGGCCAGTTTTTATTGTTCATTTTGTGATTTCATTCTTAAAATGCTATGTTGAGTTGCCCTACAAAACTATCCTTGGAACTAAGAAGTTAATCACCCTGTCTGGAACAAAAAACTTAGAGCCACACACTGATTAGGATGGTCAAACCGTAGCATTATTTTTGTGTGAATAAGAGCCTACATGTACTTCATTCATTAAGACTAAAAGCACCCTTTAAATCTGTCTAGCCCTGTGTAGATTTGAAATGTTAAACCATTTGTTTTATCAGTAATGGAAGCTGTGAGTAGACACTGTGGTGTGGACTGACTTGAAACTTAGATGTCTGCTAACAAAGAATAATGTTAGAGCCCTTGAGATTTGATATAAGTAGGCTAAGAAGGAAATGTTGGTTTTTGTTTTGCTTTTTTAAGTTAATTTCTTCTCTACTCTTATGAAGATTTTTTCCAAAATAGTAAATAGGTACAATTCTGGTCAGTTAATATCAGGATTATTAAACTGCCAAGAAAAAAATAAGGCAGAAGGGTGACAGATTTTAACATTCACTTACCATCTGCTGATGAACAACAAACATTACTCCCCCATGTTATCTCTTTAATAGGGTAGTTAAGGTGTTTCTCATATAGTTAATGATACCCTTATCGTTACAAAAAGCTCATGGGCTGGAATTTCTATGCCTTTTAAAACATAAGAGAGCAAATAATTACACTAAGTAATTCTCCCAAAGATGGGCAATTAGGTATCTACATAGGGGATTACTGGACCCAAAAGTTTTCATTAATAGATTACCATATTAATTAGCCATTTCTAGTGATAAAGAAAATCTTATGAATAAATATTTCCCTTGGGCACTAAGAAAAAAATGACTGAAGTTTATTTTTAAGTGATTTTAAAAACAACTAGCTAAAATTCATTAGTTGTCAATTGACCAAATTAAAATACTTTTCAGATATATATGACCTTCAAAATCCATGAAAAATTTGCAATGCTAGAAGTGGCCTTATAAGATAAATATCTGATAAAGTTTTTATTTAGTATCAGCACTTGCTATTTTCCTTTATCCAACTTAGGTTGGTATAAAGAATTGCTACACACTCACACAAATCATTTTGTAGACACTTTCAAATAGACAATTGGAATCATTATTATTGCTTTGTAATTTTAGCAACTTACATTCCTAAATCTAAAATTATTTTTGAATTCCTGGTATGTTTAATCAAACATTGAATCAGTAATATATTTGTGACCGTTGTTTTGTTGTTGGTGCTGTTGAGCAAGACTTTTTTTTCCTTTGCATTCTAAACACTGACTATTCATTCTGACTCTTGTCTCAAATGTTATTTCTACTTTTTTTATTGATGGAGATTTGCAATTTACAACACTTTAAAATAAACTGTCAGTTGTTATACTTTGATTTTCAAAGTATTCTGGAAAACACATATCTGCTCTGTAATATGGTGACAGCTCATCAAATAGTTCTGTAGCAAAATGTGTTATTTAATGTAACTAAAATGATATTCAGTTAACTATGGTAAATATAACAGGTAACATATATTCATGTTTTTTAATTTTGCAAAAGTTTACTCCTAGTACAATCAGAACATAATGTGTGCAATGTAAACATTCTTAGAGGCATTAAGGAGAATGTTACAGAAAAATAAATTTTTCCTCTTTGTACTGAGACATAATGGAAAGAACTAGATGACAGGAAATCTGGGTTCCAGACCTGATGCTGCCACTTACTTGCTGGATGTTAAGCAAGTCTCATAACCTCTCTGTGCTTCCTACCCACAAGGATGTAAAGGAGCTAAAACTGTATTGTAGAGGTATTTTGAAAAAACAATTTAAATGTTTATAATATAATTTACTAACTTTAGTTTGACCCAGGAGAAAGTTTTTGCATAAAACAGAAGTTGTTGTTTCACTAGTCAACAACTACGACATAAAAACCTCATCCCCCAGTTTGGGGTACTTTGCTCGCTCTTTTTCAGAGCACGGAGTGCAATACAAAGGCTACTCCAGATGGTGGTCTAAAGGAGTGAGCCACAGCATTATAGATCCAGAGAGAAATCTCAGTTGAGTTAAGCTCATGCAATAAGGACACTACACAAAGGTTTATTTATATATTAAACAAAGGTATCCTGTTTTTCAATAACAAAGCTAAAAATGATAACTGATATGACTCAGTTTTGGGGGGTTTTTTTTAGATTCTCCAGTAAAGATATCATTATCAATTTGAAGTATTAGAAATTGTTCTTCCTGTGTAAGCCAAGAAAAGATGCTATTAATTGAAATTCAGGGTCAAATCAAAGTTTGCATAAAGTAAGAGAAAACTATCACAGCCATCTGTTATTAAATAATAAGATAATGCACAGGCAAAAATTACCTTTACCATGAGTGCAATAAATTCCACTTCTCTCACCTAAACATTTCTCAAAGTGTGTATAGGCATATAACTTAACCTTAGCACAGAGGATAGAA